AAGTATCACACGTAAATCAGTAATAAAAAAATAATATCAGAGCGATGACTTTTATTTAATTTGTTCAAATGTTGTTTTGTTGAACCACAAAGTCCTGCCATCCAAGCTCAAAATTTGGACTTCACAACAAACTTATGTGAAAGTGGCAAGTATGATTCAAGATTTAGTCCAGTATTTCTTTTGTTATGGAAAATTTACCAATGTGGATATTTTCTTTGGGATACTTGCAAGCACCAGGATTGAACCGATAACATTAACATGTTGTAACAAATAACTCAGTTTATCATTTTATTTATTACTCATGAATGAATGTTTTGAAATACCATTTCTTAGTACAGGGGAAACTAAACCATGGCACATGAACATTTCTACAAACTCAAGAATATGGGTTTTTTGCTCATAACTGTGAATCGTGTCTTTTTTGATCACCTTGATGTTGCAGATTTTTTAAGCAGGTGCCAAAATTTAAGAATAAGTTAAACCAATTCTAGGGACTTATCAACATCTGGTGGTATGATGTAATTAAATCAAAATATGTTTATATTATGTTATGATAAATTTTCAAACTTTTCTAATTTTCTTCAACTGATAGGCGGACCACATTGAATCATCGTATTCCTCATATATTTGCACTGACAATGTTTGAAGATTATGTCTTCTGGACAGACTGGGAAACTAAAGGAATTCATAGAGCTAATAAGAATACTGGAGAGGGACACACTACATTGATCACGACTACACATCGACCAATGGATATCCATGTCTATCATCCACTCAGGCAACCGCCAAGTAAGTTTTGATTTATGATTATCAGTAAAAATAAGAATTGATTTATCAATGTAATGTGTGACATTTGACAAATTTGTGGGAAAACGATGAGTTGCGATATTATGTCTAATAGTTAACACCATCTTGGCAATTGGAAATTGAAAAGTCAAAGATGTGGCAAGGAAATTTGTACAAGAGAATATAAACCAAATCCTGCTGGAGTAATTAATAAAATAAGTATTCTGTTGTCAGCTCTCACCCATTAAATTGTTTTTTTATTACATATTTCACTATGACATTGCATTTGAAATGAGTTTGTTCCGTATCTGCTCTACTAGTATTTTACTTAAAAAAAATGTATTTATTTAATCTACATTTTAGCAAATGTGATTTTTGGTTGGTGTGCATTTCTTTTGGAGATTAACTTCTAATAGACCAAATATGGTATTATTATCTGTTTGTTTATTATCTGAAATTTAGGCTGAAGATATGACGGATTAACTTAGTCCTATTAGTCGTGTTCACACTACACAAAGTATGTGCTAAGATTTAAGCTAATGTCATATGTTTGCATATTGAATAGACCCAAATGTGTTACAACACAGAATGAAATAGTGGTAGCACAGTCTAAGGAATGCCCATACTTGTTAAGAATATACACAAATCTTCAGTCATTTTAACTATGATTACTCAGTACAGTAACTAGGAAGGTATACATGTTGGTTTATGGGTATAAAACAATACACAAGCAAATTCAGAAAAGGCAGATTGCAGAATAACAGGAATTAGCTTATTCTCATCATCAATTAATTTTTTTGTGAGAACATTATCTTTATGCGTGGTCGTGTTGATTGCCATATTGAAAATGGCTTACCGAGTGGAATAGTTTTGGATATAATACTAAATCTTCCGAATTATGAACATTGAATACAGTTGTGTTTGAAGCACTTATCTCAAGCTAAGTGTTTACATGCTCTTCGCCCGTGCTAAGGTTCTGGGCCGAGTCTTGAAAAGGGCGAGATTTAATCCGTTTCTTAGCTCGTTATAAGTCTTCACACACGTTTTCTTAGCACTGGCTAAGGTATTTGTCATGACCTCTTAGCCCAGGCTAAGGAGCTGTACATGCTAATATTATTTATTAAACTGTTTTAATGTCTTTATCACAGTGCTCCCTAATAGCTGCGAGAATAACGGTGATTGCAGTAACCTTTGTCTGCTTGCTCCTAACAACCAGCGAACATGTGCCTGTCCTGATAGCTTCTACCTCGCCAATAACGGCCGCACATGTCTTTCAAACTGTTCGGCAAGTCAGTTCGTATGTAGTAACGATAAATGTATCCCGTTCTGGTGGAAATGTGATAATGAAGATGACTGTGGAGACGAGTCAGATGAGCCAGCAGACTGCCGTAAGTTTTGTAATTTGTACTCATATAAGTGAGGCAAACACTAGATAGTTGAATTCCTGTAATTTATTTGCATTTTTCCATGGAAACCAACATCTAAAACAGTGCTATTGATACAATCAATTTCTTTTATCAGTTTTATTTTTTTAATTTTAGTACATTTTCACAAATGTCACAAATCTGTTTGATTGATATTTGTGGTACAAGAGATGGGATCTGTCACTTTGGTACAAAATAAAGATAATAATATTCTGCAAACAATATAAGACCATTCATGAATACAAAAGTAATTTCTGTAAATTAAAATTATCAAACCACTTCAAAAACAAACATTTTGTCATTATCATGCAGTATACAAACAGATGAATAATGTTGGAAATTGGGAAAATGCTGTAGATCATGATAATACTGTCTCCATTTCAGGCGTCTCTAACATTTTCTCAGAAATTATGCAGCAGATATCAGTGAAACTTGGCAGGTTTATGATTAAGTCTCTGCCGAATATGGACTTAATTTTTTTTCCAGATCTGAAAATCCTAAATGGGTATTTTTTATGATTTTCATCCAAAATTACCTATCCCAACACCACTGAGCATGCTCAGAATAAATAATTAGCTTAGATTGTAATGCTAGGGTTTTTAGTGATGTCATGACCTGGTCATGACCTTGATCTGATTCAGTGACAGATGCATCGTACCATTACCAATCTGTGTGGAAACTGTAGAGGGGTGTCAGGGCTACATTTTGAGGGGAATTATAGTGGTGATACTGAAACAAACCCAGGTCCTGGTAATATACAAAGGCCTGAATTAACAAAGAAGTCAAGTTATTAAAGGTACATCAAGGTTTACTCAGATTTATGAATGCAGTTTCTTGAGCATGTATGAGACATAGTTTGATTGCACTTGTGTACTGTGAGATTTTGTGAGTTTTCAGTTATATCAGTACAACACTAATTAAGGGAAATCACTTTGTGTACCCACATAGAGTACATATTAATTCAACTATTTGCAGATGTTCCATGTATTATTTTAACACGGGTATTTTATAATTCATGTCTTGTCAATATTTAGTTTTTCACGAACATGCAGAAATTCAACAAGTTTTGAAAACATGCAATCATATTTTATTGGAAAAATTTAATGGTTGGATCATCATTAATTGCGATTGTTGAAAGATTAACATAATCAGTGTAACATAGCTTAATAGCTTCATTCATGAGATGTGTTACTTGTTGTTTTGATTTTGATGAGTCTGACATGAAACAACAAAAAATATTAATAGACATTGAAATCGTGAAATTTAATGATGATGATTAATCATGACCATGAAAAAAATAATTGATGTATGTTTTTGTGTTCCTAGGTCCATTTGTTTGTCAGGCTGGTCAATTTCAATGTGATAATAAGCACTGTCTAAATCCAGCTTTCTTATGTGATGGCGACAACGACTGTGGTGATAACTCAGACGAACAAAACTGTCAACACCATACATGTATGCCAAACCAATTCAAGTGTGAACAGGAGCAGAAGTGCATCATGGCGTCCTTACGATGTGATGGAACAAACCATTGTGAAAGCGGGGAAGATGAGGCTAATTGCGGTAAATCTTCATCATTATCATCTTGTATCCTAACACTTGTTGGTTTAGAGAATTTACACATTTAAAAATTGTGCACTGCAAAATACTTTATTTTTGCTTGGAATGACGTTTTCACTCTTCCTATATGAAGGAATGATTCAGGGAAAATAAAAGATATTTTACATTCAACTCATCAAAAATCAGTCGTAGTGAACTACTGTGAATTAACACATAGATTCACAGGTATATACATTTCTATGCATAGCATTGAACAATTTCAAATGCCTGTAACCATAACATAAATTACCTTTTAATTTTGCTTGAGTGTTTTTATTATTGTTACTCTGTACATCATTTTGTGATGCACCACCAATCTAATAGTAAACAGCTGATGTAACAGGGATGCGCAAACATTATTGTATTTCAAAGATGTTTTGTTGATTCATACAATGTCGTGTTGCTACATATATAAGGCCTTAAAAAACTCATGTTTTTTAATCGGTGTGCAACATAAGGAAAAAGTGCAAGCCGATATTTTTTTTTTGCCATTTGTTTTATAACTGCACAGTGCCCTCTGTTGACAAATTGATTACACCTGCTAAACTTTTATAAAGAAGCAAAGATTAAAACCTCCCAATTATTTCTACAATGGTATGATTGATCTTGTAATTGGTCATCGCACTGTGACGAAATTTGTATACATTTATGACAACCAGCATGCAAGTGTTTGATAACAAATGTCGCTTGAATAGATTTTAGTGCAAATGATCCAAGGATTGCGTTAACCCCATATTTTGCTTTGCGGACTCCAATTATTGAAGAAGGACCAAGTTTTTCAAGCAAGCTGGGATCCAATCTCTAATAAAGTTATCCAGCGTCAAATTTCAATTTCTTAAAAATTTGTTTCCAGCTATTTTAATAGTCATTTGAAAGTTAATTCCGGATTATTAACCATTATTAACTTTTAAACAAAAATACAAAATTACATGCAAGTTCTGCACAGTTTAATCAGTAAGATCTTATTATTGTATTCAGTCTTAATTGTTTTTTTCATTCTTTCACAGAGGCAGTCACATGTGAGGCTGATAGATTCCAGTGTGAAACTACTAGACGTTGTATACCAACGGTCTGGAAATGTGATGGTGATAATGACTGCGGAGACAACTCTGATGAACCTCCAACCTGTCGTGAGTTTCTAAAAATTTACATTGCAAACAAGAAAATCATTTTTATTTTGTCCTCATGACTTTTCGGAACAATGAAACAAGTCGGAAATTAAAAAAAAAATGAAGAAAACACAAAGTATCGTCTGCTAATAAAAAATTAATAATTTGTTTAATGCCAAAATTAGAATACCAAAAATACCACACATCTTTATTTTCATCATTTTCATTTTGATCATATATACCTGTATGTAGCCACTGAGAAGTTATCTTCCAAAATTAACAAAGAAATTATGGAAAAATATTCGGAAATTGCAAAATATGTAGTATGTTCATGTTTTCATTATTACCAGCAACAATTCTTTCCCATAATGCATCACACATGTGCAGTGAAATGCTCAATAGACGCAAAAATTTAATTTAGCTCGAATAACAAACAAAGGTCATAGCGTCGTAGTGGGTCAAACATCACGTGGAATTCGACAAACGTGAAAATATTTTGGGGATATTTCCATGCTTATTAATAAAATGCTTTACACATTTGATGATGGTCAATTTCGATGAAGTACGGGTATTGAAACTCAATATTCACCTATCAAAGATCGGCCTTTCTATGTGAGCTACAAAATAAAGAAATTTGAGTTCCAAATCAAATCGTACGCACGTCTTTCACGTAATCTCGCAGTTGAATGGGAAAATCGCTTATTGAAAATGAGGAAAACAGTAATAGAGATCACCAAACTTATTTGCATTTTGAAGAATTAAAACACAATATGGCAGCCGTTTTGAGTATAAATTAGCGACATTTGATTTTTGTGTGACATGTGTACTTTTCAAATTTAATACAAATCCTGATGTCTTGACACATAGAAAAACATTCAACATTAAAACAAATTTATTTCCTGAACATAAAAAGTAAATCATAGTTGTATATCACAATATATTTGTTATCTGTTTAGGAACTAGAACATGTGGACCTGATGAGTTCCAGTGTGTCGAAAATGGACGTTGTATACCGATGAGTTGGCGGTGTAATGGCTACGATGACTGTGGTGATAACTCTGATGAACCCGCAGATCACTGTGAACAAATTACCTGTGAGGAGTCCCAGTTTCGCTGTGATAATTTCCGCTGTATTCCGCAACGATTTCTTTGTGATCATGATAATGACTGTGGTGATCGGTCTGACGAAGAAGGCTGCACACCAAGGCCATGCACTGTTAGTGAGTTTAGATGCAGTAACGATCGTTGCATAACGAATAGATGGAAGTGTGATGGCGAAGATGATTGCGGTGATGGTTCAGATGAACTTGGAGATAATTGTAAGTTTGAATAAAGAGAGAATTATTCACAAATTTGTTGTAACTTTTATTTTTATAATAAACAAGATTTTTTTTATTAACTGGTAATTAGTATTTTTTTAAAAGATAATCACATTGTAGAACAAATATGATGAGACTTGAATGGGATCTTGGCATGATGTCACCATACAGTACTATGAGCATTGCAAACCCTAAGTAATGTTCATCTGGTGATAACAGTTCAGTGTCAAAACATAGTTAAGATCAGTCACAACAAATTCAGTAATTCAGTGAACATAAATAAATATAGATTCACGTGAAGCGATCGTAAAATGCGACATAAATTTATTTTTGTTTATTTATGGAGAATTTCATATCATACTACCGGTAATCTAAAAAAATTCTAACTAAATTTCCTGGACTTAATATGTTACCTGCACTTTTGGCGAGATTTTAGTAGTTTCATTATGTTTGATATTGACACTTTGATTAGTAGGTCATAAAATGTGTGTGGATCATTATGTTTTATAGTAAGAACCAGGCAGCAATGATAACTACAGGGAAATTGTACAATCAAGACACGTTACTGTTTAACAATCCATAAATACTGTCTGTGGAAAGACGTACAATTTTGAAGGTCTAATTCCTTACTCGTTGCAGGTGCACCGACGTGCAGTTCGGCCGAGTTTCAATGTAATAATGGACACTGTATTGCTGCCGAATGGAAATGTGATGGCGATGCCGATTGCTTAGACGGATCCGATGAAATGGACTGCAGTAAGTTCAGATATTGTCACGTAATTAGAAATGCACTAAACAGAGTTTATATTACTTAAAAAATATTATGGTATTCTTTGAATCTTGAATATGAATACCTATATGGAATACATGTACATGCAACATTTTTACATTTTGCTCAATATTAGAGTAAAATTTCACATTTTTCAAATCAGGTACCATCGTCTCACAAATACATCATGAAATGTGGAATCTGTGAATGAGTAATGAGAAACTAACTGTAGAATATGACTTTTAACGATCCTCCTAAATTGTGTTCGATTGGTAATTGATTGACATTATGTTTAATACTAGTAGTCCAAGGCTTTGCTATTAAAAGTTAGTTACATTTAACTCAAAGATAAGAACCTCCAGTATCCTCAAAATGTAATGTGTGGACAGGAATCTAGTTTCAATGTTTAATATGTGATTGTTATGAACTGATCTGTATTAAAGATGCAAAGATTTTCTTGTATTATATTTCTAAATGATTTTGGCATTCCAAAAAACTAAGATTCAAAATAAACATGAAGTATAAATTTGTTTTTATTTTTTTGTCTTATTTTCAGTGGATATTAGAGTATGTGAATTGAATGAATTTCAATGTAAAAACACACTGTGTCGTCCATTAGAATGGCGTTGTGATGGCGATAATGATTGCCTCGATAATTCAGATGAAGACCCTGAAATGTGTGGTAAGTATTTTGATTGCCACAATACTGGTACCACATTTTGCAAAAGTTTATGTATTTTTATATAATTTTTTTTTTATTTTTAACCAAATAGATATAATTTTACGATGCCTACAGGTCTTGATAAAAAATTTAGAAAAAAATTGGTTTATTTTTGTGAATGGTGCTGAAACTTGACTTTGGCATTCAAATGTTTAATATCTCAAAATCATGTAATATGCGAATTACCAGGGATGAGTTGAAGTATATTAAACTACATTGAATACTAAAAAAAAAACAGTATGGTTGAAGAAATTATTATTCAAACAATTATTGATGATGAATTTCCATGACAACTGTTATGTATTAGTGAAAAACACCAATCATTCAAAGCTGAAAATTCCCAACATATGTTTAAAATAAGACTGGCTTTCAGCCGGCAATACATTGAGATATAGATCTTGAAAACCAAACTCCTGTGAAAAAGAAAATTTCTGAATGCCATTAGTGTTATAGTATTCTCTGTAATAAAATTGTCTCATATTTCCCATTGCTTGTGTAACCCAGCAGTTGTATGCATTGTGCACAACCAAATTTCAGAGATCTCCCTTGAATCATCTTTTCGTACTTCTCATCCCAATTTTGTTTATTTTATAGGCCAGATTCCATGTCCTCCAGATAAGTTTCGTTGTCGGAATAATATTTGCATTGCTTCATTCTTGGTGTGCGATGGAACTGACCAATGTGGAGACGGGTCTGATGAAGAATGTGAGTCAAGTTGTTTGTCATGTTGTGAGCAATATACATTTCATAAATCAAAATAGATGTTAGAATTCAAATTTAC